CACCCTGCCGCCTTAAATCCCCCATTTCCGGTTTTTTTGTCAAATCGGTTTTTTTTTTTTTTTTTTTTTTTGTTTTTTGCCGGGCCGTTCACACTAACAAATAAATGCGACCTGTATGCGTTCTGCAGTGTGAACGGGCAAACGACCTGAAAGTGTCCCGCATGCGCAGTAGAGGGCGCAATAACGTCAGCGTTCTCAGTGTTTTGCCAGCCGCAATAAAACGAAGAAGTGCTCAGTGTTTGCGGAAGTAAACATGGAGGCTAACGGTGGAGCTTAGCTTATATATTTGAAGTTGTCCGACCGGAGCAGCATATTAACAACTTAATCCTCATTATAGTCCGTCATGGTTGTGTTATTCTTCCCGCTTGCGCGTATCAGGGCGCGGAATTTTGACGTTTGTCGAGTATCAGTGACGTTCAATTCGGATGAACGCGACCTGGACGTTAGGTCGCATTTGAATCGGATACGTATCGGACATGCAAGTTTCCTGGGTCGCATTCGAAAAGAATCCGACCTGTGTTGTTCAGACTGTCATGAAAAGATCAGATACGTTAAAACGAATTTGTAAAGGAACTACGAACTCTTCACGTGAATAATAAGCTTCTGGTGACTGGCAGGGTAAGTACATGTAGCAACATACACTATTAGGCTTCATGTCGGTCTTAGCTTTCAAATACATTAGCGCTAATTTTGCTAGTTCGGCAGTAATACAGTAAATATCTCTGATATTTATCTTCGTGTTGCACAAAGGTGGGTAGAGAACTCAAAAATTGTAATCTAGTAATAGTTATAATGTACTTACATTGTTTATAAGTAGATAGGAACAAGGCGAGAGCTAGTTCTAAGCTTGTGGCTTGTTTATTGTTGTCATAGCAACTGTCATGACGGTTAACGGATACCTTTGAAGCGGCTGCCAGTTACAAAATTCCCGGAAGTGTGACGTCACATGTACAGAATTTGAACCGGGTGAAACTAAAACTATTATGACACCTGAGAAGTTCTGGGTAGAAAATATATACAGACAGAAAATGTTTTTAATCTAAAATTCAAAATGTATATATTCTTTATACAGTTTTGGCTTAATTACTCAGACTCCTTTAATTTCATTGCACAAAGACATGCACAACAGAGAATTTGGCAACAAAATGTTGTTTGGCTGCAGAAAAAAAATACTGAAAAACTATAAGTGTGCCTATAAATATATAAAAGTGGTGCAGGTAAGAGAAAAATATATATAAATCATTTTTAAAAATACTGCTCTGAGAGTGTTGTTTCTTTCAGTAAATGGCAGTTTCTTAGTATATGTCCTTATTATTTATTGATTTGCATACAATTATTTTAATTAAAGAATATCACATTAATAATAGTAAATTTGATAAGACACATACTTTGACTAGGTCAGAGTTGGTCTTGTTGTTATAGTTTGGCTCGGACTGAGAAGTAACTCATTTTCCCAAGATTAAAGCTGCAAGCGACAAAACATTCCTGGAAGAAGTAGCAACTCTTAAAACTGTAAACCCAGCTTCTGCTCTCCTGCAGAGAATAATAAATGACTTTGGTATTCTTTAGTCCTTCAGTCCTGACCTCCAGTAGCTCCCTCTTCACCCATGAGGCTGTTCCCAGCATCTGGCCATGCTTTATTTCCCCCCTGCTAGAGTGAGCATGTCGGGGCGGATGTGAGTTGCTCCCTGTGGACCCCGATGATGAGACGGAGCATTTACATTAGCCTGGTGAAGCAGGAGCCGCGGCACACTGCCAACCCTCCGGCTCCGAGTTTACAGCCACACCATGTGGTGCGTTTAATGTCAGGGGAATCCAGGCCGCTCTCTGAGACGGAGACAAACTGGCACAGAGTCAGATCATAAAGTCAGATAAACAACAATACTCAGGAAGTTAATTAGCTGTTACTCCTGCAGCCAAACTAGTCGCAAGCCAAAAAAAGAGAGACAGCCCTCTGAACCGCGGCCAGTAATTACCAGCGAGTGGAGCTGGAGAGGATGGAGCCTGACCCTCAATCTTCTGCTTTGGACAGACAGCAGGTTGTTCTGTTAGAGGGTAATACAGGATGGAGAGAAATTGGAAATTACCTTTGACACAAAACGTAGCCAACCATCAAGGAGGAATTTCCTTCGGATTTCAGCACGTCTGTTTGCAAAGATTCAAATGACAATGGTGCTTTTTGTGAGAGGGACTAAATTTGAGTTTCCATTAGCTGGAGAGGTCGGTGAACGCATTAATGGTTGCAATATTTTAAGAAGCGTTGCATTATGCAGAGATTTTTCTTTTTGGGAAATCAGAAAATAGGAAAAGTGCCGCTCTTTATCCGAGCTGAGTTAAAAAATGGGAGGAAATAACAGCAGAAATGGGTTTTCAAAGCATCACAGTGTGGAAACAATTCATTTAACTAAAAAAAATAAACATTGGAGTGAATATAAAGAAAGGAAGAAAAAGAACAAATAGAACAGATTGCACAAAAATAATGAAACACATGAACAGAACAAACATGTACACCGTTATGGCATTAAAAGATCGAAAACAGCAACGATTTAGGTTTGGAATGTAAATATCCACAGTAGTTCATTACAAAAACACACAATCTTACCAAGTATGTTTAGTTTCTAGTGCAAATATCTTAGCTCACTTAAAATAAGACAGAAACTAACTTACAATGTTCTTCAGAAAGATATGAGCTACTTTTATATGTCAATAATCCCTTAATATTGATGAAAAAGTACTTCCATTGGCAGATTATTTAACTTGTAACAAAACATGTTTTCATGTTTTAGACCAATATTCAAGAATTATTGACTTAAAACAAGCTCTTATATCTTGCTAAAAAATTTACTTTTAAATTATTTTTGTCAAAATTCAAGTGTAGAAAAATATTTGCACTAGAAATAATGGAAAAACTCTTTGCCAGATTTTGTGTTTTTGCAGCGTACAGCTCCTCGACTGATTAAGTCTGCCCTTGTAAACCTGCTCCTCGACACCCACAGAATCGAAATGGGAAAAAAGAGAAGTTCAATAAATGTGGACTGAATCTCAAAACAACCGGTTTGTGTGAACTTTAACTCGGGTCATTCCTGGAGCAAGTCCTAGTGTGGGTATGCAACAGATCGCGCTGTGTGGGCGGCTCGGCTCAGCGTAACCTTACCGTGACCATCAGGCCACGAACAGACCCACAGACTTGAAATGTAAGCAGCCCGGCAGACGGGCAGCCTCTGGAGCATGCTGATCGATCATAATGGCCCCTTGTAGCACCAAGGTTAGGGTGCTCCGGGCGTATTGTCAGGCCCAGCTCGATTAGGATGATGAGGCTGCTCATGGTGGGGGATGCTGATCAGTTTCTTTAACATGCATGAATCCGTTGGCTCTTGCAATGTTTCTGTTAATCCCAGGTTTGATTCCTTTCTTGTTTTCTGTAATTGGCTGCAGATCCTGACCCTCTCTCTGATTTATGAGTGAAAGCTTTCGTCCGCTGCGGCGCTGCAGGGGGACCTTGACGCGGGACTCTGACTGGCTTTTTGTCCTTTCCATAATTAGAGAGTACATCCAAATCACCCTGTTCATTACCCCTGGGCCCTGTGACAAATGATGAGCCGACTTGTTTTAATGTGGGCTTTCTGGAAGTCCTGTTTGGGGTGAATGAGCAACATCACATGCAAGCGAGATGAGAAATGCCATAAATGCTAAATGTTAAGTGAATTTCTGACGGCATAGTGCACAGACACGAGCAGCAAAAACATCAGGAAGCTTTCAGCTCCTGTACAAGTCAAAGAATAAATAATATTCACATACACTGCAAAAAACACAACATCTTACCATGTACTTTTAGCTTTTAGCAAAAATATCTTAGTTTGGTCTTATTTCAAGTGCACTATCTTAAAAGTAACTTATTTCAGCAAGCAGCTATATAACAAGACATTTTTCCATGTTGCAGATGAAATAATCTGCCAGTAGAAATATAACTTTTTCATCAATAAGAAGGAATTATTGATTTAAAACAAATTTCTTGCTTAAAAAGTTACTTGTAATTTTAAATTTGCCTCATTTAAAGTGAACTAAGACATTTGCATGAGTGCAGACTGGCTACCCAAGTGGAGATAATATGTAACCTGTGCCAAACTCAAGGCTCAGGGGCCAAATCCAGCCTGAAATGTTTTTTTTATCTGTTCCACTAGACTCTACGTTACATAAATATAACTTTCTACAACAGTTGTGTTCTTAAAAATTATTTCATCAATCAAATCAAAGCAGTTTGTTTCTGTATATTATTTTTAATTTTATGACCAAAATAACCAGGACTGCCCCTACGAACTCCTGGATGTAAAACAGATTCAAAGGTTTGGGTGAGCAGAGGATGAATGATCAGCATTCATTTGTCCGTCTTCACACTCAGACTTTAATTTTTTTTAACATCTCCTTATGTTAGCAGTTGTAGCAATTCTCAAAATGCAAACAGTGCTTAGTTTTGACGTTTTGTTCAAGTGTCTGCAGAGGGAAACAGGCATCACCAGCTATGTGACGTGTTTCAGCTTTTCACATCTAAACAGTGCTGTACATATTTTTGATTCTAGTTTCGTCTTCTGCTTTTTCTTTTCTTCTGGAATGCACTTTGGCATCTGCTTTTGATTCAAACCTTCATTTTCCAATTTCTGTTGAAAATGGAGGATAACAACACACTGTTTTTCTTCTCTTTCCTCTTCTATTTGAAAAAAAAAGGTGAATTTTCATGCTATTCAGGAAGCAACTCAAGGATGCTGATTGTTTGCACAAGGTCTGAGGAGTCAGAGTATTTGTAAAGCTTTAAATATTTGTTTTTAACCAAGCAAAACAACTGAATAAATGTTACGGACCTGGATAATTTGTTCAAATCTCATCATTTAGTTTATTTACGACTCTTAAATATGTTGAAAATGAAAAAAAAGTACTTTATTTCCAGTTGGTGACGCTAAGAGTAAAAGGAACATTATGGTTTGACTATTTCATTCCACAGAGATGCAGTGTTGTTGTTTCCTGTCCATTTTTATTTATTTATATGTTTTGCCGAAGATAAGACATAGGAATGACCTTCAGCTAAACTTGGAAATCTGTAGATTTTAGGGTGGCAAGACCGGGCCAGTAAAAGTTTTAGGAGGGCACAGCTAAAAAAGTATGGAGGACCAAAACTGACATCATTAAAAATTGTGTTTCTCCTTTCCTTACATATGCATTTTCATCAGGAAATGTATATATTTTCTTTTGCCTTTTCCTTTTCCTTATGCTTGTGTTTTTTTTAATTCAATAAAATATTTAAAGATGTTTATGAATATATTTTTGCAAATTTGAAAAATAAATAAATATTTTTATATAGAGTTATAGTAATTAAATTTTATAAGTTTAATTAATTTGATAAGTAGATTAAGACTTTCTATGAGCTTTCTTTGACCTAAACTTGGTTTTCCGGGGGGACCAGTGCAGTGGCCAACATTTTTAAAAACGGGGCCATGGCCCCCCTGGCCCCTTCTTTTGGACACCACTGCGTTGATGGGACAAAACCAAATACAGCCCATTCAAACTGGACTTGGGGTAAATTTCAGTAAACCTGTGCCAATCATCAGCCCCAGTCTTAACAATATTTAATCCTTCCTAGTTTTTCAGTCAATCAGTCATTAAAAACAACCTGTTTGCAGGGTCTGTACTGACACTTGGTGTACTGGGTCAGGACAATGTCCATTAGAGGATTTGCTTGTTTGCCATGGCTGTGCGTGCAGGAGGAATAAGGTGATGGGAAGCCCTAGCTCTAACCAGGTCTTTGATTAGGCTGCTCCCTGAGGCGTGATGGAGGAGGGAATCTAGTTTCAGGGGTGGCTGGGTTGGGGGTAAAGAGCTGGATCAGGTGGTTCATAAACTGTGATTCAGCGCTCCAGGTCAAACTTCACAGAGAAAAACCCTTCATGGAGACTCATCCTCTGATTTTACAAAATAGATTTTCTCCTACTCTTTGAATAGAAGAAGATAATTTGTTTTTTATTACGCAACACAGGCACAAAAGGATAGAAAATAACCTTTTATTAGTAAATGAGAGGTTTTTGTTCTCTAGTTGGAGTCAAGATCTCCCTGCTAAGAACATTTGAAATCCTAAAGGTGAGATTGTTACGTCTGCTCCACAAAATGTTCTTCCTTTGGTGGAAAGGTCACTCTTATCAGAGGTGATGATCCACCGTTTCTGATTCCTGTTCACCTGTTGGATAGGTAACCTTTATCTCTGCTGGAGCTAACCATTTGTTCTTTTTATGTGAGTGAAATATGTTCACTCATCAAACTTTTGAGTCTTTTTATCATCAGCATATGTTACAGTTTTTCTTCACTGTAGCAAAAATTAAGTCATAAATCTTAATTTTCCAGAAATTATAAATAATTTTTAAACAGAGTTCAGGTGTGCAGCTGGTTCTGTCAGAAACACCTAGTCAGAGCCATCGTTTTTATGACAATAAAAACGATGACAATAAAAACCATCGTTTTTATTGTCATTTTATTTGGGCGATCTAAAGTACAAAAGATTAATGATCAGAGAAAGGAACTGGAAAACAAGGCGGATCAGTAACTTCCTGTGACATGTTTAGATTTTGCTGCTTTCAGGGTAACCCCCTTTCAGATCCACACCACTAATGATGGACTGGCTTTACATTTAAACCTCCAAACTGCTCTAATTGGGTAGTAAGAAGAACCATTTTCACTTGTAAAAGGGTAAAATTACTAATTTTCCCAGAATTAGGTTTGAGATTAGAAACTCCCAGCTTCCCTTTACTTCGTTCAACAAACACAGACAGAAAAAAGAAACCATTTGAGTTAAACTGCTCTTCTGGAAGGCATTGTTAGCCGATCCAAACTAAGAGGTTTCGTGTTCTTTCCCGTGGCTCTGATGGAAACACTGAAGTGAGTTCAGGAAAGTCGGCCTATTCCTTCAGGACTGTCTATAATCTCAAGTCGATTGAGTGCAATTTCAGGCAAATGGGTGAAACGGTTCAGCAGCTTCTCTCAGGATTAGTTTGTATTTATCTTTGAAATGTAGAATGTGAGGGGAAAATGCTGTGAAGTTATTTTATTACCAGAGTCTCTGAAAGATTAAAATGAAAAGATTTACTATAAATAACATTGAGCTGCGTGTTTTTAATTTGTTTAATTCATTCAATTTAATTTAATCAATAATTAACTTACTGTTCCAGGAAAACCGTTTATCCACCATCAACTGTGGCCATGCTAACTAGTATTAGCATTCATGAGGTACCTCAGCATAGCGGAGGGTGAGCACAAGAGTGATTGACAGCGCTAAGACCCTCCTCCTGGCTCTGACTAGGTGTTTCTGACAGAGATTTTTGCAGTTTGCACTGGGAGAAAACAGAGGAGCTAGATTTTTTTCCTGACTATGTCTTATACTGTCACATTGTAATGATGAACATAGATATACTTTTTAAAATAAAAATTATATGCTGTAGCGTTAAATCCAGTTAATTATTTAAGTAGTTAAAGTTTTCTGGGAAACCCAGCAGGACACTGACTTGCAGCATTCACTCCTCCTGATGTAGCGACTGTAAACAGTTGCTTGCTTTGAGTCGTTGTCTTTACAGCAATCCCTCAAATGGAGCATGCATGTAGCGACAGTGGAGAGGAAAAGCTTGTTTCCTGCTTAGTATGAGATTTAAATGACATATCTTGGTCAAAAATGACAAAGTTGTTCTTTTCTTTATTAGCAGACGACAATGTAATACCGTCCAGATTAAGTTATTTTATTATGCAATTAAAAAATGGTATTTTGCAAACTCTAAAAAATCTGGTTGTGGTTATATAACCATCTACAAACAATTTCCAGTTGATAACATTTTTTTCTACTATTTGTAAAAGAAACAACAAATATTTTATATGTTTTCTGCAAATCAGCTGCATCATTTTGTTGTCTCAAGTTTCCTCTTCAAGCAGCTCTTTGAACTTTGGCTTGAGAAGTTCTTTGTGCACAAGATAATATTAATGCAGTAAAAGACGCTGCTGGTGCTTGAGATATGAAATGCATCACATCCAGCAGGATTAAAGAGAGATTAAAGCTAAAAGTTTTAAAGCTTTTAAAATCCCATGTGATAGAAAAAAGGCCAAACACCCCTTTTATTGTCAAGATTTGGAGAAATATTTGTAGTTTTCTTTCAATTTGCCAGTCAACTCTGCAGCTTCCAGCCACAAATAAACAATAAATTCATGAAATATATAAACGGTAAATGTTCCTCAGTTGGGTGGAAGAATTGCAGCATTGTTTACTTTTTAACCAAAAGATAAATTATGAGTCACTGATTGAAGGATAAACATTAGAAGCTTTAGAGCTTAAAAGCTATAACCCGGATTCTGGTCCATTAACGGCAACGAGGAAGAAACTGGATGATATTATTATGAAATAAATAGGGGAAAAAAAGCTTTGCTAACACTTTGCGATGTTATTTCACCAACCGTGTAACTAAAGACAAAGTCAGACACTAGAAAAATGTTGCAGGAAAGAAACAAGTTTTAATGTTGAAGCAACGGTAACAGTTTTTACTATAGGAAAATGTAAATTATTTTTTAAATTAGTGCTAAAAAGTCAGAATGCACTTTTGTCTTAACCCGGTAAGCATCCATTTATACGTTTATCTTTGAAAGGTTCTTGTTTTCCTTCTAGTTTTTCCAAATCAGATTCAGTTTTATTTTAGAATAGTGTAAACATCTTTATCCGACATCAGCAGCTGTTTTTTCCCTTCGTTCAGCGTAAACAAATTTTCACAGCAGATGTGGAGATAATTTTATTCCAAGTGGATGAACTAACTATGCTACATCCAAATATCTAATGAGCATTTCATCTGAACTTCGATCAAGTGCAGGTACATCAAGCAGGTACCTTATATTTAGTTTAATTTGTAGGTCAAAGTCAGGTTTATTTATATAACACATTTCCAACAACTCATCTAAATATTTGAAAGAATATAAACAGACTGAAAACTCTTTGATTTGGGGAATATTTGACAGTTTGTGGAAATATGTTGTAAAGTGTTAGAAAATGGTTTTTATTTGGCTGGATTGTTAAATTTGCAGATTTCTGAATTAAAAACATAATCTTGAAATAGTGGAGCCAAGGTCCGAAAATAAATGTTACAGATAATCTGAGAAGTAACCTGAAGAGGGCTTTGGTCCAGAAACGTCCTCACAACCTGCACTGCAAAAACACAAAATCTTACCAAGTATTTTTAGTCTCGTTTCAAATGCAAATATCTTAGTACACATGAAATAAGACAAAACTACAAGCAACGTTTCATATAGGAGCTTGTTCTAAATCAATAGCAAGCTTTTTCAATATTGATGGAAAAAATACTAACTCCACTGGCAGATTAAAACATTTTCCGTGTTACAAATTAAATCAGTATTAAGGAATTATTGACTTAAACTGCATGGAAGAAGTTAGAGACACGAAAAAAACTTTATTTTCTCTGAATTCTGAGAGAAAAGTCAGAATTCCTGTTTTCAGTGACCCTAATCCTCCTTCGTAAAGCGGTCAGGATTTATTTATTCATTTACGTAGGTATTTCTGCCCCTCAGTAAAAGTCGCGGGTCTCCCCCCTCTCCGCCGCGCCTCCTCCAGCGCCACCGGAAGCCGGGCGGCGTTAAGACCCAGCAGATGTACAGTACAGCGAACATCTGTCGCCGCGGTCTCCGCTCCGTATGAATCGCGCCCGGACTCCAGTCTGGAGACACTCACGCTCCGAGGCGGGCTGGGATCAGGACCGGAGCGGATCCAGGGGCGGGGAGGATGTGCGCGGATGAGTCCGGACCATGAGAGCAGAAAGTGGAGCCAGACGCACTGAGCCGCAGCGTTAAGACAGCGCGCAGCAAGATGAAGACACCTATGGTAAATGTTTCTGCCGCGCATTCTCAAACACTCAACTGTTTGGGGGGATTCTTTCCTCTTTTCGTTTCTTCGAGTGCAGCCAGATCAGGTCGCCACATTGCCTCACGGCTGTGTGTTGAATGATGTCGCGGAGGGGATTAGAGGATCTGAACCGTCAGACATCCAGCTGTGCGCGCCGTTTGGCACCGAACTGCTCGGACCTCAGCGCGCTGACGGGCTGATTCCCGCCGTCCAAACGCTAACATCTCATTTTTGTATCTCTAAAAAGTGCAATAAATCTCTAGTTATTGGACATTCATGGGCGTGTTTTGATTTTGAAAAAGCCAAAGTCAGTTGGATTTGATGCGATTTCATGGAATCTGTTTCAACTTTTACAGCTTTACTCGTCAAGTTGATGCACATAATCAAGAAATTTGACTTTGACGTTTAAAATATAAAATAAGAAACGCGAAGTAAAAAAAAACAAAAACGTTTTCGTTCTTGTAAATTTATAGGCAGTGTTTTATTTTACAAACGAGGAAGAGAAGATTGGATTGCAAATGCAGGTTATATGTGCTTTGTTTCAACTTGAACTCAAACTGAAAATGCCTGCATGAAATGATCATTTATATCATTTCCTGAAGTTTTTTCTTTATCCATGCAAATAAAGCATTAATTTTTAATTATAGCGGGTTGGAGATTTTGTTTTTACTTCTTTAAATATTAAAATCAGTGCTGCAGCCATAGAGGGGCGGAAGTGGGAACCTCCAAAAGCTACGAATTTACAATGTGCATAATTTATGTTTCACTGATCAGGCATAACATTATGACCTCTGACAGCGGCCAACACTTATTTATATCTTCATTATAGCATTGTTTTTAGAAGTACACTTTGGACTCCAAGGAAAGATGTTTTTCTTCAGCACCATTAGATGAACTTAATCCATAATGAAATATCATGAAATGAGTTATTTTTGCACCACTTCTTGTATTAAAGTCCATTTTATATCTTCATGAATATGTAGAACTTTATATTACACAGAATGTCAGTGACACAGTGCAAAAACAAAATCTTACCAAATGTTTTTGGTCTCATTTTAGTGCAAATATCTTACTGCACTTCAAATAAGACAGAGCTAGCGTACATGCAACTTTTCAACAAGACATAAGAGCTTGTTTTAAGTCAATAAATCCATAATATTGATCTTTAGAAGTATGAGTTCCACTGGAATTTCACTTATGGGAAAAATGTCTTGTTATAAGTGGAACTAGTACATTTTTAAAATCAATATTAAGGAATTATTGGCTTAAAACAAACTCTTATGTCTTGTTGAAAAGTTACTTGTAAGTTAGTTTTGTCTTATTTCAAGTGTACCAAGATATTTGCACTAGAAACTAAACCAAATATGTTGGTAAATTTGTTGTTTTTGCAGTGATGCAGAGTTGCCTCTAGTTGGATCGGTCACAGCTGCACAACATCCACAAGGTGTCTCCGTAAAAAATGCATGAATGCATTTGTAATGCAGAATGCATGGTGGAAAAAAGCCAGAAATGTTAAAAATATATATGTGATGTGTTTTTCCTCTAAAATTGATGGGTTGGATGCATGATGAGGTCAGAAGACTGGGTCGCCCCTGTACTGTTTGCTGCCCAGTCTGCAGATGTTGGTAATCAGCAATGCATGTGCTGGTCATAATGTTTTGCCTCTTTGCTTTTTGCAAATATCAATATGATTTCTTGAATGTCTGTCTCTCACTCCAGCTCCTGCCTGTAAGTTAACAAACATTCAGTGTTTTCCTGCACATTGATGCTGTTACAGCATCATTTACAGAAGATTAAATTCATATTAAACCAAATCAAGTCGACTGTTTATACTTTGCACCATTTTTACTTGATTTACAGACTTTGAGACTTTCAGATCTGTCAGTTTTGCTTGGTTTAAATACCAGTGAGCTGGTATCTAAATGTGGTTGTTTGATTGTTGAAATCAGGTCTGTTGCTCCGTGGAAAAGCATTAAAAAACATCAATTTAAAGGTTTTGTGGTTTAAAAAATGTAAACAATGCATTAGGGTTATTTATAAAAAAATTTTTTATGTGACCTAAATTTTAAACTCCACCTAAATAAACTCCTGAATTTGTGTCGTGGCGTATCCCTCCCGACGTAATGAATCTACCTGTTGGTGGAAAATGTTATATCGCAGTGAGTTTGTTGGAAAGTGAGTAATTCCTCGAAGCCGTGGCAGGATAACAGCCAGTCAGACACAAACGCACATATCTGTTATTAATGTTTTCCTGCTTTAAACTTCACTGCAACGCCTTCCTCTTTGCTGCAAATGATATAAGCTGAAAGCTCACACTCCTTCTGTTGCTGTCTGAGTGTGAGGCAGAGAATGAGAGATGGCAGGAGCCGCCGAGACAAACGGAGGCACGAAGCCGCTGCCTAATCCGTTCAGTCACTCCTAACGCTGCTCTCTGACTGTCGTAGAGATAAAAACACCCAAAACGACGGCGCAGATGTTGTTTTTAACTTACAGAAGTGAAGATTTTCTCAGCTTAAACAGATCGGGGCTTCATTGAAGAGCGACACACTGCAAAAACAAAAAATATTAACCAAGTACTTTTGGTCTGCAAATGTCTTGTTGTGCTTGAAATAAAACAAAGCTAACTTGCGTGTAACTTTTCAGCAAACTTGTTTTAAGTCACTAATTTTTTTATAATGATGATAAAAAAAAATAGTAATTTCACTCGCATGGGAAAATGTTTTGTCATAAGAGAAATAATCTGGCTTTTTCATAAATCCTAAGGGATTATTGACTGAAAACAAGCTCCTATGTCTTGCTGAAAAGTTACTTGTAAGTTACTATCAAATGTTATAAGATATTTCCAATAGAAAATAGACCAAATTTACTGGCGACATTTTGTGATTTTTGCTGACGGAGTCCCACTGGGGTTGCTAGGTAACGGGCCAGTGCCTGCTGATTGGTGATATTACATTCTGGACATTTTTGAAACGGCTCATTTTCCAGACACCAAAAAACACAAACTTATTGCTAAAATCTGTCTGGATGTTTGTTGGTTATTTTTTTAAGTTTTGTCTGCTGTAGTGTATTTAGCACGGACAGGAAGGTGGGATATGAGAGAGGGGGGAGATGATATTTTCTTGCATTTTGTATTATTTCAAGTGTATTAAGATATTTGCACATCATACTTGATGTGCATTGATGACTTTGATGATGTCAGTCATCAAAATGTTTGTTGCTGGTTTTCTCATTTGTTGACTGCATGGTGTCCTTGATGGTCACATAAAGTGATTTGTGATGTAAAACACTTTGACCTGCCTTGTTTCTGTACTGTACAAATAAACTTGATTGATTGATCAGGCCGGGACTTGAACCTGTGAGGCCTCCTTGGGTCACGCTTTGCCTCTGCGCCACCGCCACGCCGCTGGGTGTTTTTAAAAATAGTTTTAAGGGCTTGGGCTGGGTTTATTTTTTTAGAAGCATTTCAGACCCAAATGGAAGCATAAAAAACATTAAGAATGTGAGATTTGCATAACGGGTCCCCTTTAAGCTGACTGTCCTTCACCAACACAGCTGTAATGGTTGAATCATCTCTCTGCAGAGGTCTGGTAGTGAACCCTTCATTAGCTCCAGATGTGTTGAACCAGATGCGCTGACCTTCGACCCCGCTGGTCCAGTTCAGTTTCAGCAGGGCTAATCAGTCTGCATCTGCGTCTCTGTCTCCAGCGCCATGGGGTAGCCGTGCTTCTCGTCCTCCTCCTGTGCGCCAGCTTGTTCCTCGTGTACAACGGCAGCTTCAACAGCCCTTCCAGGGAAACTAACGACACCCGCGTCCGACAGCATGAACATCTGCAGCAGCCGCCCGAAGCCTCCGGCAGCGCGGCGAAGCCCCACCTGCCGGCCCTCCAGGGATACATCGGCATCATCGACCATAAGGTAGGCAGATGTGGCTCTGCTGTAATTCAGGGGGATGAAAACTCTGAATGTGCATCTAATGCGCTGCAAAGTAGCAGCCGGAGCCTTTGAAGGCGAAGCCGGTTTCACATTTCCTCCATCACGAGTCCATCTCTCTTTTTCCACCTCGAACATGAAAGCACACACATGCACTCTCTTACCGCCGTCCGCCACTCATCTACTTAGAGGCGGAGAGGCTCCTCTCTGCCGTTTATCACAATTTTCTCCAGCAGTGTTGCGCCACACTCAATACCCACCTGTCGTTGCTAATAACAGTTTAGGCTACAAATGAAATCCTTGGCTGCATTCTTCCACTCTAATTGATAAACCCAGGAGACCCTCAGCGAGCCGAACCCTGACGTCACCGCCGGCTATCGACTTCCATCTGTTTACCAGGAGAAAACAATCAATGTGAGTAGCAGGGAGCTAAAGGCTCTGCAAGTAAAACAGACCTACCTGCTCACAAGGTGAAGGCTCATTCAGGCAACATTTAGTTGATGGTCTGAATCTTCCTTTGTTCCATAGAACCGTAGTTTTTCTCCCACTGTGGTTACTTTACGGTCTCTTTTTGTGTTGGGTTGATTTCAATAAAAATTGGCCTTCTGCAGCGTTTTAGTCGTTTTCTGTCTCTGCAGCCATTCCACGTCCCTCAGAGCTCTTATCCTCCTTTTGTGGTACTTTGACATCTCTCTGTGCCCATTTTGCATGTTTTTTTCCCCCCATTTCACTGCAGTCATTTTGCAACTTTCAAAAGCCTTTTGCATCTCTCTAAGCATTTTGTATCTACTTGTGGTCACTTTACGCCTTTTATTTGTCTGTTTTGCTTCCCTAATTACTAATATCTGTCCTGTGATATTTTAAAGTGTCTTAATGGCATTTTTCAGGCTTTAGATGCTGTTTTTCATGATTCTCTTGGGGTTTTTCTGCAGCCTTTAGTATTTCTTGTCATCTGATATGACTTTGTTATGATCTGATGACTTTGTGTTGCATCCCTGAGGAGAATTACCTTCCATTTTATATATTTTAAAATCTCAGACATTTTGCACACTTCTCTCTGTGCCTATTTTAGACGTTTCAATCTTTGGTTTATGTTTCTCTCTGTTGATACCTTGACATCTCTTTGTGGCCGTTTTTCATTTCACTGCAGTCATTTTGAAACTTTCAAAAGTCTCTTGCATCTCTAAACATTTTGTATCTATTTGTGGTATTTGTCCTTTTTGCATCCATAATTACTGATATCTGTCATGTGTAATATTTTAAACTGTGTTAATGGCATATTTTGCATCTTTCAGCTGCTACTTTTCATGTCTGTGATTTTTCTGCAGTCTTTTATATTTCTTGTCATTTGGCATCTCTTTGTTGTGATTAGATGACTTTGTTTTGAAGTGTTGCATCCTTGAGGAGAATTACTTTTCGTTTCACATCTTCTGTCGTCTCTGAATTGCCATTTATTTTTATTTTCCTCTCTGTTTTATGCTTCAATCTTTGGTTTGTGTTTCTATCTGCAGACATGTTGCATCTGTTTGTGGTCATTCTATGTTTTTGTTCTCATTTGACTTTCCGAAAAAGTAAAATTCTTTTTTTTAATTATTATTAAATGCAATTTTTTAAAACCTCTTTTTTCTACCCCTCAGCAATTACTCTTAAACTTTCAGTAACCTTTTCTTACAACTTTTGACTTTACTGTATGTCTCTGTAACTGTTTTGCAACTATTTTAAGTTCCTTTTTAGCCTTCATTCAAAAGGTTTAATCTCACAGTGGAAAATTCACATTGTTATTAATTTAGTTTTTCTTCTCTGTTGTTTTATATCTTTGGTCGTTTTGCATCTCATATTTTCTGTTTATGGTTCTTTGAAGTTGTGATTCTACTTTTTCTTAATTTCCCTTCAGTTATTTTAATAATCAGATGTATTTCTTTCTAGTTTTGTCTCTTTGTAGCCATTTTGCAATCCTTTAGCATCTATTTACATCCTCATCAGACTTATTTTTCCTTCTTTGTAGTAATCTCTTTTTAACCATTTGGTGACCAAGAAAAGTCATTGAGTTTCCTTTTATTTGTAACATTACAGTTTAGCATCCTTAAGCTTCTGCATTTCTTTTTTTTTTACTTTGACTAATTTGCATCACTCAGCTATAAGCAGGATTTTCTCTTCTGTGTAGCTTCTTTGTATTCTTTAAATATAAATGATCCTTTTACTCATTTTTTGTCTGTATTTTGTCATCCTGTGCCTCCTTCAAACACAAAATTGGTATTTCCTCTGTCGCTTCTATTTGCCATCTTTCTGTAACCATTATGAATTGCTTTCAGTTTCTGTTCTTGACATTTTAGGAGTACGATGTTCTCTGTCGTTCTGTTTTTTGCTTGTTTCCATAATTTTGCATCAATCCATGTTTAATCCTGCATCTTAAAATAATTAGGCATCCTTAAAGCACCTATTTTCTCTTCACTCTCTCTTTTTTATCATTGTATTCAGAGTAATTTTGTACCCTTCTGTCCTTTTGCCTCTCTTTGTTGCCTTCTTGCGTTCCTTGCCGCTATTTGACAATCTCAACATGGAAAGTCACTTCTGTGGCTTCGGGTTCCTGGTCTGGTTTCTAGTTGGCCTGTTTTCTGTAATCCATCTGTGGCAGGACTGTGGACTCCATGAGTGGCAGCTCAATTCTTGCTGCCATCTCTGTCTCGGGGAGATCTGCCGGCTTCTGGAAAGCGTGTATCGTCAGATTACGGCATTTGCATATGAGTAATTGGACGGCAAGCTGCGTGCATTTACAGAAGGCTGCTGCTGTGCAGATTACAGAAAATCAACGGCATGTGAATGTGTCGGCTGCAGAGATTTAGGAGTTGACATGTTGTTCCTGAACATCAGAAATAACCTGGTGTGTAAATGACCATCTACGTTAAACACCAGGCAGCTTGAAGCTCAGTCTTGATGCAGGTTGGCTGCAGATATAAACGGAAAAATGAAACGGAAACATTCGAATGTGTGAAACTTCAACGTTATATAAAAGCCAGTCGTAATAACTAATTAATCAGTTAATCACGTGGCAAAGTAAAATTATTTTTATAATTTCCAGTCTGGTGGTTAATAGTTTTTGAAGGTCAGTTTTGTTTACAGAGACGTCATAATCAATTTTATTCGTGGTTTCGGTTGTGTGTGGCTTTATTTCCTCTTTATTTGTCATTTTGAATGTTTAGTTTCATTTTGAATATTTATAATGTGTTCCAGTTCCAGTGCCAGGTGTTTATTATTAGTCTTTAAGAGGGAAAACTTCCACTGCATTATGAAAATGGTCTCAAAACCACAATATTATTGTTTATCGCGATAATTACTGAGAAAATTTATCGTGACAGACGATAGATATATATATGTTTTTCAGTAAAAAAATGTTTGTAGTTGACAGGAAATTTGAAAATATCTCCTGATCGCTATGCGTTGCCAAATTATATCAATCAGTCCCTCCAGTTTCTTGAAAATTATCGTGGAAATTCACACAAAATTAACAATCATAATAATTGGGAGTTTATTGCAGATTTCTCTCATGATGGATGAGAGAAATGTACCAAACAGCTGCCTCAGCCTTAACTGATGTCAGATTATAATCCATGATCTATACAGCGAGTAATGAAAAGTCACCGTCACAAATATCGCAAATATTCCCAAATTAGCACCACAAACACAAAATCCTGGAGGAAATGAAAAGATGTTCAATAATAATGTTTAATTTTAAGAATTAATTGATATTTTAACAGTTTGTGATCAGGTTTTATCAATACATTCTGGTACAACCGGACCTTTAAGAGCATTCAGGATCTGGATTTGGCGCAAAACAAAATGAGTTTGACTCCACTGGTACAAGAAACTGGAGACAAAGTAAACACAAATCATCACATCTCCACTACCGTGCTTCACAGTTGATTTGTAGTATTTGATGCTGTTCATTATGAACGTTTCTACTTTCACTTTGTGTGACGGGTATTATTCTAGGCGTCTTCTGGTTCAGTCAGAGAGAAAATGTCTCCTTCTGGCATTTTTTGTTCAGGGTTTTCTGTCTGTCCTGTAGTTAAATTTAACTTTGAAGAAAACTGAGTCTGAGATGGATTCCTTGTGTTTCTCAGACTAATTTCTGGTATTGGTCCAGTTTCTTTGTGTTTTTATGGCTGCAGGCTCTGGTTCTGGAACAGGAACGAATTGGTTTCATCAGAAGTTGGAGACTCTGGGAACAGCAGGCCAAACGACTCCAAAAACTTTGGAGTTTAGTTTTATTTTTGAACAAATAAACAAACAAAATTAGCAGAAAAATGACTGTCTCCCATCACCTCCAAGGTTATTTTGATGCCATCCATCATGGGGTTTAAGTAGTTGAAGTTGCAATTAGCAGCTTCACTCACCAGTAATTATTTTTCATTAAGTCAATAAAAAGCCATTTCCTTCTTCTGTTAATCGTTTAAGATCGCCAGGTGGTGTTCATAAATCTCTCCAGTTGCAGATGAGAGATCGGCTGATTTAGATTATATTAAACACGCAGAGCTCGTTTAAAACAGTGTTATTAAATTAAGGTGGTGATATTAGGGCATTTGGTGGCAGGAATATTGTGATAAATTACATATTTGTTTGGTAAAATTGTCTGTAAGCACTGAAATATTTCAGAAAAAAGAATAAAACAGGAAGAAGATGCGTTAATCGGATGAAACCTGTTTGTTGATGTAGAGATGTGGCTGCATCTTGGCTTTCTGGAACTGGTTCTTCTACAGAACCAGTAATGATTAATCACTGGAACTGGAAACTTTCTTCAGATTTTTCCATGAAGAAGCAGTGTGTTTGAGCTGCTGGTGTTTCGTGATCCCAACTGCAGTTAAAGAAAGATAAAAAACTGTTTACTAAATTATTAATTTTTCCATCAGGGTGACATTATTACAAGCTCCATTTTAAATACGACAGTATTTGTGTTTTTACAGTAGAACCTCCTTGATGCAGACATT